ACATCTCTATAGCCATAAGCTCGTCAAAGTCAGGACAGTCACTATCGTGAGTAAAAAAAAATATGGAAGAATTTATCTGTTTCTAACAAGCTATAATTGGCAGTTATTGCTAATCATGTGACTACATTAAATTAGATCTGATGAATATATATGACAACTTCCTGTAATAAACGTCATATGATCCGTACAATATATAGACGCTATATATAATCCATAATGTGGCAACATTTATTACATTTTATGTTTTCACTCATTGTATTATTAGAATTTTCATTGAGTTTGCCTATAATATCAAGTAGAAGAAAAAGTGTTTGTCATCAGTTCTGACTTTTCTGTATGTATTATCGTAAATGTTATTCACATTATTTAAGTCTATATTACTTTCTTATCAGTGTAAACACTTTATTTTTTTGTTTGATTAATAGTGGGGAGATAATTTGATTATTACAAGATTCCTTCAATTTCGATGTAAACATATTAATTATTAACTGGGTTTTAATTTTGATATTTTCCCTGATAAGTACGATCCATTAAAATGTGAAAATAAAACGGAATTCATTGTTTTACTAGAAATTCTGAACCCTCTAATTAAGATCAGAAATAGTGAAATTACATTCATGAACAAGTACATGAACAAGCAAAATAACCACACAATACAAGCAATAACACAAACTATATTAAGTTCAACCCACGACACAATTGATCAGCGCAAAAAAAATAAAAGCGTGCATTCATGGTTTACGTTATTAAACACTATTAGAGGTGCTATGCCACAAATTAGACAGTGGAATTCACACAAAGACTGAATTCCAATATACTAGTAGATTTTTTTTATGAACTTTGAATCATAAATCAGTTAAATCGTTCCATGGAAAATGTAAAAGTAAAGGAAAATACATAATTTTGAACCAGGAAGTAAAATGGCCGCATTACCTCTCAGTCGTTGTAGTCTCTGGGAGTGAAAAACACACAAGGTTGCCTGATGTGTTCCGAAACAGTCACATAGCCAAGCTACACATAAAGCAAGCAGGATGTATGTAATAATCACGTGAGCGGAGCTTGGACTTCCTCAATGGGAAATTAAACGCCAATGTGTTAGTGTTATATAACTGCAATTGTCTACATTTACCTTCTTCATAATTGAACTCAAGAGGATTTAGTCAAAAAAAAAAAAAAAAAAATGGCTAAAAAACAATGAATGTCTGTATAGAATTGTACAAAAATATTACTTCTAAAAATAAACTATAACATCATTGTTAACTGCACATATGCCTGCAGAAAACTCAAATTCCTGAGAATCAAAAAATATTTACATCTGAATATATCTAGGTTATTTCTACATGTGGGTTGGGATATTGCTCCAGTATTGAATTGAATTCAAAATTATTAAACTGGTTTGTGATTTTTCATTTGTCTGAGAACATGTTACCACCAGGGTTCTATGACATACTCATGTGGAGTGCCAGGATGTCTGATCAATAGAAATACTACTGAAGAATGTGTTTCTTTGTCGAATACATCTGTTAATAACAATTCCAATGGCTAAATATTTCACAATTTGCGATAATCAAAATGTTGATTAATTTTGAAAAAACCTTTTGTTGAAATGATCTACCTACTGCATACATGTAACATATATTCAGTCAATCAAAATCATGTTTTGTAAAACACTAAAAAAAATATTTGGACTTGTGTTGTTCACAATCCTATAAGCTCTGCGTGGTGATATACTACTGAATGTTTTTGTTATTTTATAACATCTCGTATCGATTGGGTATTGTTTATAAACCGATAAATTTCTCAGACGGCTCAATTACATATCGAAAATTTGTCAATGGTGCCAAGTGATCAGATCACCAATTACACACTTGTGGGAAATAAATACTTCATTGCCATGGTGATAAGACTAAAGGCGTCACTGCACAAAAAACAGAAAAAAGAAAGAAAACAGCAGCGTAGTGTCGCGTGACATCTAAGTCAGTGTTGTGTAACCTAACAGCAGGCATAAGTAGACATCAAACACTGTCAAACCAGTTGTCGCAGTCACACGACTCTCATCAACGAAAAACACTTGCCTTGCAGACAGTTTTTATTGATTATGCGTTGTATGACTAAGCGCCAGCTTGATATCATTTCATAGTAATTTTAGTTTTCTGAGCCATGGCTGAAAATTGTTCTGCTTTCTTGTGAGTCGATATGGGAGGGGGAGGGGAGGGGGTATAAAGCAAATTTGACACTGGTACATGTACATGTAGGTTTTGGTAGAACAAGAAAGCTTTTAAAGTGATCCCTGAAATATATACTATCAACAATCTCTGGCAGCACAGTACTAATGGCAAGTGGACATCCGTAGAGACAAGTGATACTGGCTGCACGGAACACCGACTGCATGGTACACAGACTACAAGGTACACAGACTACAAGGTACACAGACTACAAGGTACACAGACTCGGGTGACATGTCAATTTGCCTATTAAACTGAGAAATTAAAAAATAATATCATGAAGGAGATAAGTACAAACATGTGGGAGGAATGGAAGGAAATGAAGCGGGAGTAAGGAGAAGGGAAGAATAATGGGGAGTATCAAATATTCTAACCACAGCTAATTTATAAAGTCTTCCACCGATATCCCCCCCCCCCATTGTACGTTTACTTTAATCTAATTTTCACATTTGAAAAATAAGGAAGCCGATGGCTAAAACTGCACTACAAATTGGCATGAAAAATTATGGTCTTTTTAATATGATTATGAATATAAAAAAAATGGCCGTAGGTAACACAGCACTCCAGACTACTTTAGTAGAGTCGGTATAATATAATTGGTTTTCAATGATATACTAGAATCACAATAAAAGCTTACAATATTAGCGACCAATGTGCCATTGGAGACTCAAAAATACATCAGTTTTGAAAACATTTTCACAACTCGTACTATATCTCTGCTCAACTTACATACATGTACATGTACTTCAAGATTCACAGCTCATTAGATTTGAGCTCACATAAAAAAAAATTTAATTTCTAATCCTTGTAAACTACATTTCTTAAAATTTGCCATGTTCCACTAGACCACACACTAACTACAACCAAGATGATTGAACATTGATAGAACCAAAAACCTATAAACAACTACAAATGTATATCATACCAAAACAAGGTACGTGCACTATATACATCCCCAACCAACCAACCCACCCACCCACTCCCATTCCCAGGCTGGTAAGTATCCCCACCCCTAGGCTGGTAAGTATCCCCACCACCAGGCTGGTAAGTATCCCCACCCCTAGGCTGGTAAGTATCCCCACCACCAGGCTGGTAATTATCCCCACCCCTAGGCTGGTAAGTATCCCCACCACCAGGCTGGTAAGTATCCCCACCCCTAGGCTGGTAAGTATCCCCACCACCAGGCTGGTAATTATCCCCACCCCGAGGCAGGGAAGTACCCCCACCCCCAGGATGGTAAGTATCCCCCACCCCCAGGATTGATAAGGAAGCTGACACCTAACGTATGCATGGTTAATAAACCATGCAAAATGAAAATATAAATTGAAATGTCATGTATCGTTTAGAGACTTCCTTGTACAGAAAAAGAGTCCTATCAAATAAGGCGAGACATTCTTATCTATAGCTTAAAATAAGGTGCCTATTACTGCAGATTTAATATCCTTCAAAGGATATACAGGGGAGTATAGACATTGTAATACAATGCAATTGGCAGGCCAGATTGCCCTAACTACCAACTTATGTATTTAATTGAATCAATCTTAACTGTAGCCTTTATCAATCATATATAATAGGGTAGTTCTGCAGACTACCCCAGACATTATAGCGGCTATACGTCCTAATATCTCTCATCAGACCTAAAATCAATCATCACTGAAATTCACCATTTATGTAAATGAATTCACTCTACCCAGGATTCATTTCTGCCTACTCTCTGATGTGTTCTGTATCGGTTCCACTAATCGAATTCCTCTTTCTTTCATCATGTTTTTTGTATTTGTTTATTTGCAAGTAAAAAAGATCTATTCTTGAGTTTTTAAATGTCAAGTAGGTCATGCATTATTGAACTATTTGATGGTACGTCAATTCTCACTAGGCCAGCAACAGTAAAGTATTTTCACCTCATCATATTTACGTACCATCAGCTCGTTTTATTACTAATGTCTGTAGCACGGTGCACCAAATAAACTTCTATACATTTTCCACCCAATTAGCTCTACTCAAAAAGCTTTTTCTCTCTCTCATCGTCCTGCATTTAATTTTAGAAGCAAAGATGACGGTTCCGGGCTATGAACCTAAAACGAGGGCTTGCAAATATCAAAACATGTTTCAATCCCCAAGTGTGTCTGGGCTCTGTCACAAAATGATTTGGTCTACCGGTGACACACAAAACGTTACAAATTGTTTGCAATTCCAGTGCACCCAAGTTATGTCAATCAGATAAAACGTCGTCTAAAATACCGTACAAGCTCTCTGGAATGGGAACGAATACATCGCAACTACCTGGCGGAAATCTGAATTGAACTAGGGTTACAGAAATGTAAGTGTTCAAATCAATCTAAGTATCTCTGGAAAAATCAGATAAATGTCAGATTCCACAAAGTTAACCTTGGGGGAAAGTTTTTTTGTTTTTTTTAAGTGGCCAAAAACAATTACTGGGCATACCAGGTGAGATGATTTGATGGCCCAGGGGCCCTGTAACATGAATCAATTCTAAAACAAAGAGCTGATGATCCTGGGACCCTGTAACATGAATTAAATCAATAACTCGACTTGCAGAAGATGCATTATAATCAATTATAGAGCAACTGTAATGAAAATTCACCAGAAACAATTTTGAACAATTCAGTACGATAAAGAAACAAGTTGTTGATTAAGCCCACAAATGTTAATCATAATACACATGTACATTATGGTTGCTACGGCTCAGGTCAGAACTAATAATGAAAGGTCAGTGAGGAATATGAAAGACTGATTTCTATTGGTTGAACTCACCTCTTGTGTGGTTGCAGATAATTCATCTTCTAACGTAGCTACTCTCTCCAACGCTACCCTTAGCCTTTCTCGCACCTGTGTAAAAATGAATGTTTTTTTTTTTGTTTTTAACATTAATTGTCTCAACAATGTAGACAGGTTTATTTCACACCAATGATAAGCAATCAAATATTTAACCACAGACGAAAACATAGTACATTAAGCCAAAGCATATTCCCCTCTTATCAAACCTGATTTGAACCAGTTTTCAAAAATGTAGGACAGCCATTTTTAAAATTTGCATTTTCTTTTTTTCAGTAAAAAAAAATATTAATACCTAAACTAAAAATAAGTTAAGGTCATTCTGGTCTAGTTAAAAATAAATACATTTGAAATAATACAATTATTCTCTATCGTATGGTTCCGCAATCAATTTACTGTAATTTGTATGCCTTACACAGATTGTGGACTTGTCTGCATCTGACAGGTGTTGAAAGTGAAGCGTACTCTCAATGAATGATAAACTGTGCGATGATTATTCTAACACCCTACTCTGATACGTCGATCACGTCCCTCCCCACACAATCCCCGATATCAACATCTATAACCTCCCCTACACAGTGCCCAACGACATCATCGCTTATCACGTTTCTGACACACTGACAGACATCAAACACCTTTCAAGACCACAATGTGAACAAACACAATCACTTGTATGTCTATTACTGGCTTAATGACCAATGATACTGCGTGATTACTCACAAATTTTAAAATGCACTTTTTCAATTCAGTGCTGGTAAATTATAGGTCTCTTTTCACTTTGTGGTCATTACTCATCTGACAAGCGAGGATTTTCTTGATTTGCAACGATTTAGTGCAAACATAACATACTACTCACTTTCTCATCTAACGCTTTGTGGTGTTCAAACAACGATTTGAGAGCTTTCAACACCTCCACCTCGCTGGAAACACCAGCCGGTGACGAGGCTTGACGTTTTACTACTGTCATTCTCAGCGATCGTTCATGTCGGGAGACAAGGCACTCTAAATGTTCCAACAATAACTGAAACGAAAAAAAATTAAAATAATTAGTCAATTAAATTAATTAGTCAATTAACCACATTGCAATAATGATGACAGAACTCCTATCCACACATTTCATGAGTGCAAAATAACGTTCCACATACATACATGTATGAACCAAAATTTTACCCATACTCCTGTCTTGGTAAAATAGTACGAGCAGTCGCCATGGAAACCCAGTCCTACATTCAAAATAACACGACAGAGCTGACATGACAATGCATTGGTCCTGTATATACCACGTTACTGATCAGTTTAAGGTACAGGCGCCAACATAAAACTCCATTCAAAACATTTTTTTTTCATGGTACTCTATTGCAGGTGCGCTGCTAATAGACGACATATGGTAGCGATACTCTGATATCAGTTGACATGACTTATTGACAGCCAGAAGTGGTATTTGGCACAAGAGCAGTCACAATATGTATTCCGTCAATTTCACTTTTCGCTTTATACGGCCAGTCAGTCTTATCAAACTAATGTGAACGAATAATACTTGCGTAACACATTACTGAAATAAATTGTTTGAAATAACTGATAGCTACAGACACTGTATTTTTGACACAAAGTGCAGTAATAGTTTTTCCCACTACATGTACATCGAGTTGTGTCTTGTTTCCAAGATCGTATATTGCCCAATTCATACAGTTCTTTCATTAAAAGACTGCATCGTGATACATTGTTAAGCGGAATATAGCACTACTCCTATCTTCCACTTCATCAGTATGTCCACTGGAATATCTTTCAGCTTGCCAACTCGCAGGTCACTTTTTATAAAAAAGATTCTTTGATAAAATTGCGTACATTGTCTGTCATCATATTCAGACACTAGAATTTGATCGGCAGCTTCTTCCCATGTGAATTTTAATCACAGATTCCCCGGCGAAACTGACAATTCCACTTTAAATCCATCTTTAATGGAATACCCCCAACCAAGCAGCCAGGGATCGGTGGCTTTTCAAAACTGCAACAGCTGCATCAGCAATATCGATTCACTCAGGGTATCGGCCCAATATAGAAACATCTACACTACTAAATAATTATTCTATTTATAAAAAGTTGCTATAATTAGAAATTGCCAAGCGAATCACTGTTTTAGGCAATGGTCCAAATTTGAACACTCATCAGTATAAACACAAACGATAACTTTCGTAAGTGATCCCTGCAAACATTGAGCTGGATCGCTCCCCAAGGTACTAAGTGTTTAAAGCCAATAAGATAAGGAGTCTTAAAGGGTTCCTCAGTTTAATATCTACTGACTCTTCATGAGTTATCAGTATGGAAATTACTTACATGCTACAGGTGTGTGCGAAATACTGTTTGTTGCACAACAACATCAATGTATCATGGGTAATTTAATTTCTAAAGCTAAATAATATAAAAGTGTTGTATGCTGCACATGTTTGAATATTGTGTAAACAAACAAATTGTATTCTACACACTTTCTATACATCATATGGTTACTATGTCGACAGTGCCATGTTAACCTTTTCCCCGCCTCTTGTCATCATTAATTCACAAAGTAGTTCTGTTTATAGTCTGCACTTTTCTTCAGAAGATTGGGTTCAATAGCCAAATTTTTGAGTAAAAACTAACTCAAATTTTGTCTGTTGGTTCCAAAATTAGGGTTCAATTCCAGAAATATTGAAAGACAAATTTGGGGCGAGAAAGTCTGGTGGTGAAAAGTCAACATAAAATATGTTGAAAAAGGGAAATTCAGAGGACAGATTGTATGAGGTTACCGGTGGTAATATCAGTACAACGTATGTACTGTAGATCTGTATATTCTGAAACAGAATGAGATGTAGGGCCATCATGTATGTGTGCTATAACACCGCAAAAACTGACATTCACATTATCCCCCTCCCCCTGCTTCTTCTTCAATCTTGTGCTCAATCAAAACCCCGCTTCACTCAGTGGCAATAACGACAACATCCGCAACCATTCGAGTGCGAAGTAACAGACATCTGTCCGGAAGGCATATTCATCATTATTAAAAAACCACGTTCGCATCCCAACTACCAACTCAAAACATGTAATATCACAAAGTAATAGCATAACTTGACACAAAGTATACAAAGCAACTGTCAGCTCCATACAAGCATAGTGTTTTATTGCCAATGCCTCTAGCAACAATTTGGGGTTATTTAAGTTCTATCCATGCATGTTAGTTTAATAAAGAGCTGTTATCGTGCCCATCCATTTTGATTAGCTCCACACCAGCACTGCATACACAATACATTCTCTATTTTTCGTCAACACTGAAGTTATACCTCACCATGCAAAATCAAGCTGGTCGCTTTTTTTTCGATATATACATATAAACAAGCAGCCTGTCGGCTGAGATAGCTTCGCTGTTAGCAATTCACATTTCAATTAAAGAACTGAAGATATCATTAGAAAATGAACAATATGTATAGTGTTGAAGCAATCAGACCTGCTGTTGAAAACATTACTTTTGATTTGAGAAAGAAAGAAAACCCTAAGTTTCTTTTTCGAAAGAAAAGTTATTGAGAATCTTGCCAATCAGTTCGCAGTCAATGCATTAGTTATTGTTAATTTACAGATCAGAATAATATGACTAATATGACGTGGTGTTTTGCGGCCAAGATGGTGAGACAAGAAATGCTCAATCCAACACAGACGTACAACTGAAATATACATACATAAAATTGTTTAATATTTTGTTAAGTAATGGCCAAGCAGCTTAGAGACTTAGTTGTATTTCCAATTGGTTTGCTTAAAAAGTAAAATCCTATTTCTTGGAAGTTAAATGCCTTTGTTATACACCGGAGGGCTCAAAAGAGATTTCAGCGAAAATGTCAGCGAAAATGTCAGAGGTTTTCAAATTAGATGACAGATAAAACATTGTTTAATCTGTCATAAATTTTGAGATGGAATGAGAACAGGACGAATGATGGATAAACGAGAAAACAATCTGTCCATCCATCAATCAAACACAAGAATTTGAAAACTTTATACAGGAGCATTGTTTTCACCAGGAAACGATTTCAAGAGGCAAAATTGTTTCATCAGTTTGGGAAATATGACACAATTACCCATCCATACAGTACTTGAGGCAGACACATAAAGTATATGATTTTCTGAACAGTGTAAATAGTATACTACAATAAACAAAAAATTACCTAATCTGTTGGTATTAAAGTGAGATATTTTCTATCAATCCAAGTTTTATTTTATTATTAATATATATATATATACATACGTGGACAGAGAAATTAAGACACGACTACATGAGTAAAGTTCACTCTACAGTACTGTTTCGTA